GACTGAGTCGCGGCTTTTTTTTCCATCCGACACCATGTCCCCCGCCCTGAAACTATCTCTGTGATCAGGGTTTCCATGTTAGGCGATGAAATGTGGATATTTTACACGGTGTTAAATAGGGAAAAGTGCTAATTTTTCAGCACTCTCAGGCAACAATGCCCTTCTTCCCTCTCCTCCCTGCCGCGGATATCCCACTTCCTGAGTCGATTCTTCCATTCTCACCGTCCACTACTGCCGTGCTCGACGAGAACGGCGTATGAGCTTTTGGACGTTGCCAAATTGTTTTTGATAAGTTTTAGGGCGACAGGTCTATAGAGAGTTGGAGAATTTTACCGCGGAACCTTGGCATTTCCTCTACCGCGGCCGAACATAAAAATTCAAAAAAATTGCAATGGCACAAATTTCATAAGTTCAGGAGACTTGGCGCTTCCAGTTTGTCGCGAAAATAATTCATATTAGATATCATATTAGATATTTAATCATGGCGAAATAACAATGAAAAGTTCACTTGGAAAATGTTACTTTCAAAATCCTTGTAAGTCGGGGAAGGTAACTTACGAAATCCCTGAAAAATCAGAGGGTTTTGAAATCCATGAGAACTTGTCGCCCTGAAGATACAAATTATTCAGGATGCGTGTGATTATTTTTCTTACGATTTCTCAGATAATTGTTTCCGCCATTTGATTCAAAATATCCGAAAATTTCCGGGAACAATACCGCGAATGATCCTCTGATTAAAAGGCCAGAGACATTTGGCAATTTCCGAATTACTACAGGGCGCTTTTCCTTAGCAAGGGTGAATAGATCTGACTCGCCTTTAGACTAATTGGCCTATATTTTGCAATTAGAAACTAACATTTTGGGCTCATTTTAGAGACAAAGTAGTTGCCATTAATATCCCAATGCACATAAGTGTTTATTACAGATGAGCCAGAAATCGCAGTTCCTACTTATTATTGAAAAATGAAGTCCACTTTCGTGACTATATCGGTATTCGATACACTCGATGGTTCCACCCACAACTAAACGGACCGTTTTGATATCGACAGGGTGTCTACTAAAACAGGCTGGCCAAAAATCTGCATTCATGAAGTACTTATTCAGTACATTCCAAAGAAATAAGTACCTACTTGACAGAAAAATTCAGTACTTTTTCAGTACCTCCAATTGACGAAATTTAAAAAAATTTAATTTTTCGCTCAAATTGGACAAAAATTACAAAAAAATGAAAAAAAATCCGGAACTTCTTACGAAATTTCCGCACTTTTCCAGTACTTCCGGACCACTCTTAAAAAATCAGTACTATTTCCGGACTTGTAGACACCCTCTTATCAACAGCTTCACGGCGCTTTTCATCTTAAACTATACGTTCAATAATTTCTAATTTACTACTGAGGCATTAATTTTCAACATGTTTAGGAGCGTCATATTTATAAAGTAGTTTATGGTTGATATTGATCATCATGTTCATAAAAAGAAAACAAGGAGTTGGTTCCAACGTAAGGACGTTGGAGAGCGTTCACCGTACGAACCTTTCCATTTTTGCTAGGAAATAATTGAATTACTATTTAAGATATGGTAACATCATTACCTGTTGGCAGCACAGAACAGAATGAATCACTAAAAGATACACAATTAACCTGGAGCTAATAATATCAGTTGTTTTGATATGACATTCTATCATGGAGTAATGCATGCAGTTCTTCTCCTGTAGTGAATGGGTAGCGGTGCTTCGTGGGGCGACCGCTACGCATAGCGTGGTGAACGCTCAAAAGGAAAAACGATATGAAGTACAAAAGAGAATTTTCAAGTTAAAATAATGAAAGTTTGATGGGGCAAACCAAATGGATAATTTCTGGTATTCTTCCTGTAAAATGAAAGAGAGGCTAGTTCTCAGAAAAAATAGGTTGCCATGGCAAAATCTACGACGAATGATTTTATCTTCTCATTCCAAAATTAATCTTTGTTTTTTTTTCAAAATCCTTTTAGAGTTTGTGTTTTTTTATCACATAGGATGGGTGAAGGCCATGCAACCTTTACTTTTTTTTATTTAAAAAATAAATCCAACTTGAACAACAATGTATCGAGTAGATGAAGTTCACTTCATGAAGAATGAATAGGTGTGCAAAAAATTAAAAGCTCACATCCAATTGTACTGCGTCACTTTTAACATGCGTGATGAATCTCTGGCTTTTTCCCCATTTAAGGTTTTTCTTCCATCCTTTGATATCAACAAGACTTCGATCGAACGAGGAAATACGTCATCAGGGCAGAGTGCGTAGGAAAATCACCATTGAAATGGAGGGGAGATATATAAAGTGAACGTCTAAATTTGAGTCCTCAGAGTGTAAATCTACTATGGTGTCAAAGGTCGCGTTGGCCTTTAGTGCAACGCTTGTCCTGCTTCTGATTCAGGTAGCCAGCAATTTTTAACTTTGATTCTTAATCATTACTCGGGCAAAAATTTGAAATAGAGGACATTCTTTACCCTAGAGTCCCCTTATACTGAGAGTTAAGAAAACGTGAATCCATTTCTGATTGGTTACCGTATTTCAGGCCTCCACAGTGTCATAAACAAGAATGAAGATAACGTTTTCACCGATTGCAAAGATTATAATCTGGAATGGACCGAAGAATGACGGGTTCGACAAGGAACAAACGGAATGAGAGAAGGAACGGAGAAAGGAATTTGAGAATGAGCCAATCAAGGATTACGAAACACGTTCAATTTGTGTAATCTTTATTCCCGTTTGTGACGCCATGAGGGGGTGTTGTCTTCACTCTCAGTATAAAGGGACTCCACTTTACCCTGATCTTTCATTAGGGTATGAATCTTTTCTAATTCCAATGTTTTGGCCAAAATATCTCTATATAATTAAAACTCTAAGGCCTTTTTTGTCCTCATCCGATCTCGGAAACTATTGGACTGATTTACTTCGGGTTTGTTTTAAACGAAAGCTCTCCATCAGGAGATTAGTCAGCACCCATCAGTTTTTCGATTTGCGCTCCCGACGTTACAAAATTCACCTCGAATTGATGACGCAATGTTTTCGTATTTGCCGCTAGACAATTTGCCTTCCTTCGGTCGGACTGATTTACCTCAGATTTGAGTTAAATGAAAGTTCTTAGGCTCTAGATGTGCCATTTTTTGTGTGCTAATTTTTTATCTTTCCGACAGCAAATTCTCTGCAAACATCCGTCAACGCGGTATTCCTGCTGATTTTGAACAAAATTCGGTTTCTTTTTCTGGTTCCTTGTGGAACGCGTCTCTGAAAATCCCTCAATGTTAAACTGAATGCACTTTCCTCTAGCATCACGCTGCCCTCTCTCGTACTGATTATGTCAAAGGTCGACTTCCGTTATCCTAAGCCTTGACAAAATTTTGAATGAATATTCACAAATTTGATGTCATACCTGAAAAAACAATTTGATTTCTTTTTTTTTTTTAAACTCACTTGCGACGATTTTAATTAACAAGCAGACGCGTTTCGAGCATGCGGCCCATCATCCGTGCGCCTAAAGAGAGTTTTTATTAAAAAAAAAATAATTTCGAATTGTTTTATTAATTACGTTAACTCGTGCGGAACTATAGCTCCATATTTTAGAAATTGATATCATACTTCATATCATTATTTTTGATACATGTTAAAGGTCAAACTCTTCCATTAATTCGTAAATTAATACAGTTATTCAGGGTGTTTACTAAAACAGGCTGGTCAAAAATCGGTACTTTTACAGTACTTTTTCGGTACATTCTCAAGAAATTCAATACCTCCTGAACAGGAAAATTCACTACTTTTTCAGTACCTTCATTTGACGGAATTCGAAAAATTTCAAGAATTTGGATTTCTCGTTGAAATTGCGACAAAAATGACCAAAATTCCGGATCTTCTTGCGGAATTTTCTGCACTTTTTCAGTGCTTCCGGGCTGCCCTAAAAAAATCAGAAGTATTTCCGGACTTTCTAGAAATTCCGAACTTGTAGACGCCCTAGCTATTGCTTCTCAATGGCACAAAATACATGTAGCAACTAGCAATAGCAACATTACGTAGTGATACATTAAAGAACAATTTAAAAAGCTGATAACAAGGCTAAAAGTTCACAAACAAGACCAAAATGGTTCGGCTGAAAATTCAGCCATCTCCAGTTGGAAAAATAAAAAGAAAAATGGTAAAAAATCTAAAATATAGTACCTGACTACCTTTCAAATCGAGAATGCTGTTTTGTTGTTGATCATAACAACATTCTTTGGGTTTTTTTTTTTTTTTACCATTTTTCTTTTTTTTAACCAACAGAGGATGGCTGAATTTTCAGCCGAAACGTTTTGGTCTTGTTTGTGAACTTTTAGCCTTGTTACCCGCTTTTTAAATTGTTTGTCAATCTATATCTTGTCACGGGCTGCTAAGCATCTATCATATCTCATTACGAAGTGGTAGATTTCATTGCAAGATCACGAAAATTTACCTTGAATGCAAGTCTGTGACATGCTGAAGAGGCTGGTTCATGAACCAAAATTATTCCCGATGTCTAATAAGATACTTTAATGAGCAATTAATTCAGTTTCTAAAATCTCATATCTACAGGCAAGACGCTGCACTGAAGATTCGGAGCATGATCAGGTTGAACAAGATCTGCAAACTCTGTCAGAATACGGTAAGGATGACACTGGAGCTCGTATTGATGCAAGTCGAAGGCTCGTGAAGTCTGCACAGAGGAGAATACTGTCTGCCGATAACTGCACCACAGGTTTGAATCTCGCAGTGAAATCTTGTTAAATAAAAATTGGTCTGGGTTATGATTCGTCCATTGAGGTGTAGGCAAAAACTCATTAGTTTGCCGAGAAAGTTTTCCCCTCCCCCATTTCCTTATTTTAATTTTTTCCTACCTAATCGATAATTTCAAGAGGCGAAGTCTTGCAGACTCGTATCGTATACTGCCCGATTGATTTCTCCACTCCGGCTGGCAAAATTTCACGAAAAATAAAATCTTAAAATTTCACGTGAAATATTAATTTCATGAAATTTATGAGAGATATTGAAAGATACCGGTTCCTTTTCGTGTTTGCAAAATGTAAAAATTGTGACTCTCTTCTATTTTTGTGTGTTTGAGTGCGGGTTGCATACTCTAGCCCCTGAAAAATATGAAATATTTCACAGCATCATGAAATTTCATGAAATATTTCACTGAAATTTCCAATCTTTCACACCTTTCTTACATTTCATGCCACCCTGTCTCCGCTGCCTCGTAATGCATCATAAACTAGTTTTACTTCTTCAATAGCAGGCCTAAAAATATAAAATTTCATGAAATTAGTTTTTGTGAAAGGGTTGCCACAGAATTTAGAAAATGAAATTCCCTGATATTTCCCTGATTTCCCTAACACATTTGAGTAAAGAAGATATTGAAATTTTGATGAGATTTTGATGAGAAAAATCAGCAATTTAATTTTTTCCGTGTACATAGTTCAAGAAACGCAACTTTAACGAAATGGTATGGACCCACCCGGCACCATTTCTCCACCTTGTAACATTAACAACAAATTGAGCTGAATTTTTCTTGGTTAATCGCTTAAAATTTCGTATTCTTTTTAGTGAACCATTTAAGGGATAGAGCTTTGATCTATCTGTCAAGGGACGAGGAGGATTTCTTGTCGCAAGCTCAAGATACGATCTGTATGGGCCTATGTTTTCTCTCGCGGCACACTGAATCCATCACGAACAAAAACTGCACTAAAGCTTCAAATATGGAGAGCTCAGCGGAACCAGGAAATGAGACGGTCAGTAAACTTTATTATCTTTAATAGATAAGATCATATAAGTGACACTAAAGGTCTAACACCCGAGGCGCGAAGCGCTTCGGAAGGCTGAATAGCAAGTCGGCAGGGTTGCCATGATTTCTTCGTCTTCAAATTCCCTGACTTTTTCACGACTATTTTTGCTTTCCGTTACTTCAAAATTTCTTAATTCCCTGACTCTCCCTGGCCTTTGAACAAAATAAAAAAAAAACCGCTGACTAAGGCTAAACGCTTGACAAAATGTCCTTGATTCGAGGTCAATTTATGGAAAAAGGAATTCAATGGCTGCTTAAAAGATGACAAGCCTTAGACATGACCATGTCAAAACTGAAGGTTCATACGGCGTTTTTCTTTATGTGCTGGTTACACGCTCAAATTCCCACAAATTTCCGATCAAATGGTGACTGGTGGGCACCATCTACCATCACATTTCTGCGGCCTGCAAAAATTTGATGGTAGATGATGGAACTGAGGGCTTATCCGTCATCTGATTTCCACACAACCGTGCTTTATTTCAATCAACACGCTGTTTTAATCAATTTTACTCATCAATCTAAATATCTCTCGACCGCCATCTTGGTCATCATTTTGATCGGAATTTGACGGAAATTTGAGCGTGTAACCGGGCCAGTGGCACGACAAAATAGATGTTCAAAAGGATATTCCGATGACGTGTGATTTGTTCTCTCCCCAGATTTCGCCAATATCGGACGACAGCTCAGAGTGTCATCTATTCGATGAAAAGGGGAAGGGAATTTTTTGGGAAAACGTCATAGAATAAAAAAGTCTTATTTTGATCCCAAAAGTCATTTTTTCCTTAAAGTTTTCAGATATTAAAGAGAAAATCGTGAACAAAATCGTCTGAAAAATTGGGAGAAAAATATTCAGAATTTCCTAATAAATTCGTAGGTTATTAAAGGAAGTTTGGCAACGCCTGAAGGTTCATACGGCGTTTTTCCTTAAGGTTCATTTACACGATCAAATGGAGCCATCAAACTGAAGCTCTGATTGGTGGAAAAAGACCTGAGGTGAGGATGTGATCAATGAGAGGCCCAATTTGATGGCTCAATTTGATCGTGTAACTGGACCTTTAGCACGACAAAATAGATGTTCAAAAGGATATTTTGATGACGTGTGATTTGTTCTCTCGCCAGATTTCGCCAATATCGGACGACAGCTCAGAGTGTCATCTACTCGATGAAAAAAACAAAGCCACGGACGTGCTCACCGAGGTTTTGCGCGATTACGAGGCCGATTTGATGAGAAACCAAGTCGTGTTCGAGGCCGCCATTGACGCCATCCTCAACGCACTTGCAGTTTCCGAAGGGCTAGTGGTGGAACTGAAAGGGGGTCATAGGAACCCCCAGACTCGCCGCGGAGTTGAGGAGACCCTCAGAATTGCGCTAGGGCTGAACAACATCTTCGAGTGCTCTACAACCGCTGAATAAACCCGAGAGGCGCACATTGGATCGAGTCAATGGAGGAGGTCGGATGAAAGTTAAAAGCTTACGACTCCGTTAAATCAAAACTTCAAGATTTTAAAAGTCAGTTGATTTTTTAAAATAGATTTTAAAATTCAGTTGCCTTCCTAAAATATTAATTTTATACAAGAATAAATTTTCTAAAATTTCCTTTCCTAAAATTTTATAGAAAAATAAATAAAATCAAATTTAATAATTTGAGTAAATAAACTAAACAAAAGTAAAATTCAGATGAATCTTACAAAAAATGTGTAAATTCTAGTAACTTTTTCAATGACAATTACACCACACATGTAAGCTAAAAGAACTACAATACCTCTTATAAATAATATAAACAATATGAATCTATAAAAAATAAGAATTAATCATAAATACAAGAAAAATAATCGAATATAGAATTTGTGTTGCACCAAACAGCATATCTCAGGGAAAATTGTGCTCATATGAGCTTTTTCCCTCTGTATTGATATTTCCAGTTTTTCTAACGCTCGTTGGCAAAAAACTCCAACATACTATCTCACGACGCGTGTGTCCACCGCACTAAGTTTGTATTTTGAAAATTGTTCCATTGGTTTTCTCTTGAAATTTTCCTCTGGAAGCACCTGATCAAGTTTCAAATGTGACGAAATAAACATCAAAATTTGCAGTTTTAGTTAAAAATTTCATGCCCGACCTTTCAAATTGACTCGATCCACTGTGAGGCGTCCGGGGCGAGAGATTGGGAAAAATGTTATGACGTCACGTCAATTCAACGACACATATTTATAATAAAGGAATTTTTGTAATTTAAGAGGCATCCAAAAGTATCAGTACAGGGTTTCCATAATTTTTTTCATTTTCTGATTTCCTTAACATTTTCCTGATTTTTTTTGGTCTCTTCCTTGACTCAAAAACTTTCGGATTATCTGACCTTCCCTCAATTTCGGGGCTTAGAGGACAAGGCGCATAAGTGCAGTTTTCGAAAAAAATTGCGATATTTTCGCAATTGAGATATTAATGATTTCAAATAAAAATAGTCTTGATGCATATTCTGTGAGACATTCACACGCAAATTATAATTTTTAAGCGTTAAAAAGTAAGTTTGAACTTTCTTTTCGCCATGAGGATCCAAATAATTTCAAAACTTCGAACACATATTTCTCGGAATTGCAGAAACTGCACTTGAGCGCTTTGTCCGCCAAGCTCTTCACTTTCGAGCAAGACTTACACTTGCATTTAATCTCTCAGTCCTACTTTTCTACTTCGCTTTACAATCTCTGAGTCAGCAAATAAGAGACGAAGCTCTTCATCATTGTTGCGGATGTGTAAGAAAGTTTTGTTGCTTAAAAACTGTGATCAGATTCGCGTTTGAACTTCGCGCAAAAAACGATAAAGGGAAGCGCCTGCAAAACTGTAAGAATACTTCAAGCATCGCGCTTCTTCCTGAATAGTCTCGACTCTTGACTCGCGTGAATCGCGCCAAGTTCCGAGATGCGTATACGCTATTTCAGCCATGCTAAGGAAAAACGCCGTATGAACCTTCAGGCGTTGCAAAATTTCCTTTGATACATCACAAATTTTCTGGAAAATTTGTAAATATTTTTCCTCCAATTTTTCACATAATTTTGTTCGCAATTTCACCTAAAGTTTTTGAAAATTTCATGGAAAAATATTCATAACTTTCTTCAAAAATTACTTTTTTCTGAAAGGAAATTAGGCAACTCTCGAATATTCATGCGGCGCTTCTCCTTATCACGGCAGAATAGCTTTCAGGCTTTTTTGACGTGTCCAACGTGATTTTTCTGCGATAATTTTATTTTAGTGTTTTTTTCGTTTCAGTGATTTTTTAGTGTTTTTATTTGACTGTATCTCTTGCGTGCAATCCCGGTGATACTAGGTATTTATAAATTCTATAAACCATAATAAAAAGCCCTATGTAACGATCGTGCTCTGAAAATTCCGATGGCTTTTCCGCGAAGGAAAACCATGGGCACCGGTTTTTTCCCCTGTGAAAGTCTGGATCGATTTCCGAATACAATGCGCACGATGAAATTGTCGCTCGAATTTAATGTCGGAAAAAAGTTGGGTGATGCCAGCAAATGTCAGCACCTCGGCGTGGTATCGGAACGTCACCAGTCCCTCGCGCAGGTGAATTAGATTTTAGCCTCTCGGCATTTAAATAGAGCTGCGGGCTGATTATTGAAGTTGATAGACAAAGCGGGTGGACAAACAAGAGAAAAAAGGGGGAAACGATCCCTTTGGTGGTAGCGGGTGGTTGCAAAGGACTGAGGAGACAAGTGTAACAGACAAACGAACGTTACCTAACGAGTGACCCTATACACAGTCCATCATTTTCCTGTTATCTACTGATGAGGTATAAAAAGACCAAAAATTATAGATCTATCGACGTGGCCTCAAGTTAATATTCCAATGCAAACTGCCTGAGCTGAACACTCTCCCCCATCAGTTTTGTACTGATACTTATTAGAGCTCAAAATTGTTGGCTCTGATTGAAAATTTTGGAACTTCTTGGCTTTGTCTCCCCCGCTCCCAAATAGTGTGAGCCCAGCACTATTTTACCATCTTGTTGCACAGTTTGGGCCACGTTTTTAGGTTTTTTTCTTCTTTTTTCATTTGAAAGGAGATGGTCGACAAAATCACAATTTAAGGGCGGAGTCAATAAACTGCTGTTTCACAGGATTAAATCAGGTTTGGGGACGTATGTTTCATAGAAACGTTCATCAATCGATATTTTCCCATTTGAACTGTGGGAAAGAAGCGACTATTAAGATGTTCGTTGCGGACACCCTGTTTATCGATCCTTTCCCACAGGTTCAAATAGCAGATCAATCGAGTCATCGCAACGTACGCCACGCCACCGATCACGTTGGGATTGTGAGTGGAACAGTTTTGAATAGAAATATACATATAAACTGAACGCGGAACGCTTTAATCGCAATTTAATACAGAAGATTGACGACTCCAACGAATATCATGCTTGTTTACGTTTTGAATCGAACAGACGATTTCTAACCTTTAGGTTTATTTATGTTGTTTTCGAACGTTTTCAAGAAAGAGAGGACACTATAAATCATACCGGGAGTATTTACATTGTCAAACGAGCCCGAAATTTCACATTTTAATTGATTTTCACGAGCTGACGCGATTGAGGCTGTTGTACCGACGCCACTTTTTCGAAACTAAATAAATGTAACGGACAATGTGGCAGTTAGTGTTGAGGGCGAATTAGTTTGACCCGAAGGTGAATTTGTCTTACCACAGCGCTAATTTTACAGCTAGTGCTGTTTTCCAATTCTGGTTCGCGCTCTAGTAAAGTCAAGTCAGCGTATGAAGCGAATTGATTGGTGCTTCAGTACAATCAATTAGTTCTGAAGCCTAATTTTGATTCTACTTGGCGAGAACTTACCAAATTAGTTCTCAACGCTAACTACTTTTTTTTCAGTGCAGAATATACGCTAGGAACAGGGGGATTCACTAGTCTTCCGAACGATTCAGGAGATACGTCTGTTATGTGTCCTTAAAAGTCATTTAGTAAAATTTCAGTCCTTCGAATCGTCTTTAGAATTTCAAATTTATGGTCTTCTCTCGTATAGAAGCTCGGGTGATGATATTAGGATTTAGAGGATTGTATTTTGAGCACGCTTATTTTGATACCACACGCGGAGTACGACACAATCCAAAAAATAAAAACCATAAAACATCAGACGTGACGTCTTTTAGAACTAATGACTGAGAGTACTGAGAGATTTTGGCGCGTATACGTAGTATACCGCCTTTGCGATCGTTTCGAACCCTGCTCGATACAATAACCGAGTCCCTTAGTTCCTTGGCGAAAAGTGACTACCGCGAACTTCTGAGATTTTCCAAAGCGTATAAAAAGTTTATTTATCCGTCGATAATTATGATTTAAAGTTGTTTCTCATTCTGGGGCTTTCTAGTTTATGTGCAGTGAATACCAAGAGTCTACGTTACTTGGTTTTTTTAAAAAAAGCCTGAGAAAACTCAGCGCTGATTTAAGATATGCATATATATATGCATATTTTAAATATGCATATATATAAGCAGAAGCAAGCGAACTGATTCGAGGATGGCAGACCAGTTTGGCACTCTCCGAATGAGAATTTCACTTCTTCGTTTTGGTTAAAACGTTGCTTTGGCAGAGCTCTACACCCGTGTTATGATTTTCAAAATTTGGTAGCACTGCTCTGATAGCCCCTAGCCGTAAGTGCAATCTGTGATGAGCCTCGAGACTCATTAGACCATTATCTAAACGTGGCTCATACAGGAATCCACTTACTCCTCTCTTCCCCACGCTCTTGATCACTGCGTCGGCGTCTCGACGAACAATAGCTAATGACGGTCGCCAAGCGAGGCCGGGATCCTGGGCGTATCCCGATTCCCTCCCGCGGTCAATTTTTATAGCCCGATTCCCTCCCGAATATTTTTTGGGAAAACCGGAGTGATAGCCCGATTCCCTCCCGCTTTATTTAACGATTTGACAACTCAGGACCGACAGATGCCCAACACTGATTACAGCTGGAACCAGTAAACGTCGATATGAGCTCGAATTGTGAGATAAACGGCATGCACTGGTGTATCCACCGAAAATCCATCGTCATTGCGCAACTAGGAATCAGTGTTCTCGCGTATCTCACCATGGCCGTTTCTTTTGAGAAAATTAAAAGTGAGAAAAGCAAAGATTTGTTAGTAGTTGAAAATTATAAATTTTGTTTTCACAAAGAACTGAAGGATGGAGTGAGAAGGTGGTGCTGCGTTAATAAAAAGTGCAAGAGCTTCCTAAAAACTGACGCGAGTGACAGTACATTGTTAGATAGCAAACTAGAGTGCGCGATTTTACATGAGCCCGAAAGTGATAACAAATTATGTAGGCAAAAAATTCGAAATTCTGTGAAGGAAACCGCTAAAGAAAACTTATGCGAAAGGCCGTGGAAAATTATGCATAAAGAGATTAATAAAGAAAATAGTGAGGTGCTGACGAAGCGTGATGTCGATTGTATTCGGAAAGGAATTTACAGTAGCAGAAGAACAGTAATTCCAACCTTGCCGAAAAATATGAACTCTGTTCATGTAGC